CCTCTTCCCCCATCCCCCCCCCCTTCTCCGCTCCGCGCCCTCTTCTGCCTTCTGCCCTGCCCCGCGCCGCCAGCACCCCCTGCCGCACATCCTCGTCCCCTCCTTTCCCCTTTCCCCGTGGCCACTTCCTCCCCAGCACCATGTCGGCTCCCCCGGGCACTGACCGCGGGTCTGAGGGTCGCCAGCGCGGCAAGGGCGCTTCTTATGCCTTCCGCCGAGACCTGCGCTTCCAGGCGCCGGTGCCGGATTTCCTGCGGACCCACCTGACCACCGAGGGGTCTCTGCCGTCGGGCGCGGCGGCAGGGCCCGCCGCCGGCGAGGGGACACTTTCGCGCCGCCGGGCCGAGAATGCCGCTCAGCGGGAGAAGTTTGCCGCCGAGTACCTGGGCGCCGGTGGCGCCGGTGGCGCTGGCGATGACGACGATGATGACCCGCTGGCCGGGGCCACGCTCGTCGAGGTGGACGCCAGCCCGGAGCCCGGGGCTCCCAGCGAGCCGGCACCTTCCGTTCCGACGGTGCCCGAGGCGTCTGCCGGCCGGAAGTCGCGCTTTGGCCCGGCCCAGCGGTTGGCCCCGAACGAGCGCCGCGCTCCGGGGTCGGTGGCTCGGGCGACTGGCGCCTCAGCTGGCAAGGCTCGCGCCGCGGCCCCGGCGCGCACCAAGGCCAAGAAGCTGTCCTTCGATGATGGCGATGATGATTGATATTTGCCCGCTTCTCCCGGGTCCCCTCTCCTGTCCGTCGCACCGCCCATGCTCCCCTCCTCCCCCTACCACCACATCGCACCCGGGCCGAGGGTGCCTCCCAATACAGCCAGGCCTCCCCTTGGTCATTTCGTCCCCCGGCCTCTGTCTTCCTTTTGCTGGGCACTCTCCCCGATTGGGCACACACGCGCAGAAGGATGCTATTTGGCGGCGTTCAGCCATACAGGAAAGGGAGGCCGAGGGGAAGCCAGCCATCCCGACATGCGAGTCAGGATGGGGAGAAGGCGGCACGCGGGCCCCCTGCGACCTTTAAATGTCCCAGTTGAGGTCCTCATAGTGGTAGTCATCGCGGTCCAGGCCGTAGAGGATGTCGCGGTCGTCCTCGATGTCCTCATCGATGGGCATGCCATCGAAGCCGGAGGGCCACTCGAACTCCATGTCATCGGACAGGCTCCCGGAGGTGGAGATGCTGACACAGCGCTTCGGGTAGTCGGTGACGATGCCATTGGCACCGGTCTTGGCCAGATCGCGCATGGCGGCCTGGTCGTTGACGGTCCAGCCGAAGACGGTCTGGTTGCGGCGGTGCGCATCATTGACGAAAGTCGGCTTGATGGAGGTGTGCTTGAGGTTCCAGTTCTGCACGCTGTAGCTGGTGGGGTTGCTCGGGGGGGCCGAGGCAATGAGGGACCGGGCGTACTGCGGGCGACGGCACATGCATGGGCGGGTGTGGGGGCAATCGGGTAAGCAGGGGGAGACTACCTCTTGCTCTTTTTTTTTCCGGCTCTTTTTGGGCACGGGCCCAATGCCACACACGGAGGCGCAGCATGGGCCCGGGGCACACGAGCGGCGAGAAGCGGACATGGGCACTGGCCGGCAGGGCGAGGGCGAGGGCGAGGGGGGGGGGGGGGGGGGGGGAACGCACCGCGCCGCAGTACTTCTTGGCCTCCTGGATGTCGGTCTGCGACCAGAGACCAAGGATAACCCGACGAGAGAGGTCGGCCCGCTTGAAGTTCACAAGCTGGCTGCAAATCCGGCGGACGGTGTCGGTGTTCGGCTCAACCTTGATGTCCAGCAGCAGGTAGAGGCTCTTCTTGCTGGAGGAGGCCAGGAAGTTCAGGACATCCACGAAGAGGGGAACCTTCTCCTTGGGAGCGCGGCAGTACTGGATGTAGCCGTGGTAGTTCTTCTGCAGGATGGTGCCAGTGCAGTTGGTAGTGCGGTCGAGGGTCTGCAGGATCAAAGCAGGGGGGGGGGGGGGGGGGGGGACGACCAGCGGAAGGAAGGTGTGTCAGAGACCGGAAGGGGGGCGAGGGGGCACCCGGCGAAGAGGGGCCTCGGGAGACGGGGAATGGGGTCTATGCATGCATGCATGTGTGTGCGTGTGCGTGTGCGTGTGTGTGTGTGTTTGTGCACTGCGTCCCGACGCACCGTGTCGTGCATGACGATGAGCTCGCGGTCGCGGGTAAGGCGCAGGTCCAGCTCAATGCCAGCGGCGCCCTCGGCCACAGCAGCATGGAAGGCCTGCATGGTGTTCTCCGGGTACGCGGCCGAGGAGCCACGGTGGGCGATGCAGTCGATCTTGGCCTCGGTGTGGGGAGGCGCGTACGGCGAGCCGGCCACCACCGAGAGCAGCATGCAAAGCGCCAGCAGCAGAAGCGAAGCGGGGATGCGACGGATCATCATCGCGGCGAGGCCTGGCCAGGTGAGGGGATGACCGGGGGGGGGGGAAGGGGAGGGGGGGACAGATGGGGGGGGTGTTGTTTCGAGCAGGCCCCGGCCCCAGGTGCCTGCTCTTTGAGGGCCACAGCCGGGCGATCTGTTTTCCAGCGCCCGGGGGGGGGGCGGGGACAATAACACCCGGGCCCCAAAATCGGCTGTGTACACCTGCCGTCCGGGGCCACAACCCCTGCCCCAGGGACATATGGGCTCGACCGGCGGGGCGGGAATGGGGGTGGGGGCCAACTGCGCCCCCCCCCCCCCCCCCCCCCCCCCCCCCCCCCCCCC